GATCTGCTGCTTTGTGGGCTGTTCAAAAATGGGCTGAGTGGGCTGCCAAGTTCAGCAGGCTCATCTTCAAGATTTTGGGCTGCTGAAACATCTTCAACTGAATTCATGTGTATCACAAATTCTCCTTTGTGATTGGGTTCTTGATTAGATTCTTGTTGTAAATCCCAATCCCATTTGCGTGCTTCATCAAACTCTACATCCCGGCTGATCACCAGCCTCATGTCTTCAGGATCATACATTCTATACGCCTTGGTTCCTGGTTCTGTTCCCAAGTAAACCATGGGAATACTTCTGTCATCAAGTTTATCTACTTGATTTGAAGGCACCTTTACATATCCAACACACCCGAACACCCGTAAATGATCCAGATTTGGTTTCCGACCTTTTAGAGCCTCATATGGTGTCTGATTCTTCAGAATTCTTGTGGGCAGCCTATTTAAAACATAAACAGAGTGACGTACAGCTTCAGCCCAGAAACTTTGTGGCATATCCATTGCTTTAAGGATGCTCCTTGTTGTGCTCATCACCGTTCGATTCCTCCTTTCAACGACACCGTTCTGCTGTGGTGTGTAGGGTGCAGTTAACCGTCTTGTGATGCCAGCATATTCACAAAACTGTTTGAACTCGTTGGAAGTAAACTCTCCTCCCCGATCAGTCCAAAGGACCTTTATTTTCCTTCCATATTGATTTTCAGCAAAAGCCTTGAATTTCTTGAATTGTTCAAATGCCTCACCCTTGGTTTTTAGCATGAAAGACCACATAAACCTGCTGTGATCATCAACAATCAGCAGAATATACCTGTTTCCAGACTGAGTAGCAGGTGTTATGGGACCACACAGGTCTGCATAAACCTGTTCTAATGGTTTCTCAGCTCTGAAAGTTGTTTGGCCAGGAAAACTTTGTCGTGAGTGTTTCCCTGCCAAACAAGCTTCACACATCTGTGAAGGGTGGTCAACGGCCGGTACTCCATCGACTAGTTTGCTGGTCCCTAGTCGTTTTATTGTATCAAAATTCACATGACCAAGACGGGCATGCCACAACCATGCTGGATCATCTATCTTGGCCAGTAAACAGATTGGTGTCCCAATCCTTAGATTGATTTTATATAAACGATTAGGGGATCTTGGAACCTTCATTAACAGCGAACCATCCGGCTCAAATATAGATAAGAATCCATGTTTGATCAATATTGTACAACCCCCTTCTTCAGCTTGTCCGATACTAAAGATATTACTCTTTAAGTATGGGATATAAAGCACATCCGTCAACAAACGTTGTTCCCCATTCTTGCACACTAAAAGAATGGACCCTCTTCCTTCTATCTCGACAC